AAACTTTAGTTTTACCGGAACAGATCTCCATATACTCCCCAACATTACAACTCGCTCGGGAACAGCCCCTCAACTGGGCCGTCTTCCTCTACCCCAATATTCGATATAAATCCCCCTTCACCTATTAATTTGTACTCAGGATCTCGCGACAGCCACAAAAGGCCCTCAACAAAATCATCACTACACGCGCTGATCCTTACCCCCACCCACATACATTCCCCTCATAAAGAATAACCATGTAATCCTTTGCATAGTCATGTCCCCGCTCTGTCCCCCTACTCTTTCCACTCCCACCTTGACGCAAATAATGCATTCTCACTCCTCCTTCCCAGGTCAACAGACCTAAACCTCCCTCTCATCCGGCAAAAGTCACCACCTCCCGAGCTTCATCCATTCACATCCTGAGTCCCCATAAGAAGCCTATAAGCACTTCTAAGGATAGCGAGTAATGTCAGCTCTCAGCAATGAAAAACTGCTGCAACCATACACATACCTTACTGAACAGCCAATCGTTGAATCCAACAATCCCGCCCGTTGCAACACATGTCAAGTTTTTGGATTAAGACCTTGCAACATACCCAACCGCTGTTCCACCGTCCACCATCTCAACGAATTCGCCTCCCAGCCTCCCATGGTCGTCTCTATACGAAAGTGCCACATATAATAACTGACCTTCCTGCCTTCTCACCACATCACAGTCCCAATCAACTCCTGTCTCCTCCACTCCCCCTATAGCCATGATCTCTTGTTTTCACCTCAACGTTTACCGGCCATGCTGTCGCCCCTCAAATCATGCCAACCACCCCCTCTCCAACTTCCGCAATGCTTGTCCCTTCCGACTAGAGATGTCGGTGTCATCCACGTACACCTTACTCACATGATTCCGAAGCACACCCTCCACTATCTGACCCCTCCCACCAACACTCTGGTCTCAACCAACCAATAAATGGATCTTGCGACAAATGCGCAATAATACACTGTGATAGCGGGCAACCCTGCCTCAAGCCCCTATCCATGTTCACCACACCTCACACGTCCTATTGGATACAGAATTCTCGTCTTTTGCCCCTTTATATACAACGACTCAACCCACCCCAAATTCTCATCCCCAATAACTTGTTACATGTTAAGGATCTGTCTCAAAACCCACCCTTTACCCACCTGATCATAAGCTCATCTCTGCCAATCAATCGCCACCATACCTCTCCTCCTTCCTGCGTCCCATCAAAACTCTCAACAAACCCCTTAGAATTACGTGTGCCCACTGACCAATCGACCGTCAACCTGCAACCCTAGTTTGCGACCTTTTGAAACTACACCGGATTCCCACTACACATTTTACCCTATTCCCCAAATCTTCGCGAACAATTTATAGTCCGCACACCATGAGATTAATCGCCCTGTAATCCTTAAGTGTACTCAGCCCTTACCCTTGGGCACAATCACTACGACGCCCTTGTACTTTGCCTTCCTCGCCCAATTCTCCCCAACTTTCATTCTGTTGAACAGCGTTACTAAAAAAAACCCCTTAACAGATCCCAATGTTTTAAGTAAATTCACTTACGAGTATCCCATCAATACCTGGTGCTTTGCCTCTCACATGTCTACAAGCGCTCTCCATATCTCCCCCTCTTCAATCTACCCCACCCAAAGCTTCCCTGTCCCTCACTCCCCAAGCTACTGGCTCTACAGCACACACCCCCATCAGGAACCTCCCATTAACCCTTTACTTCTTCCAATAATGCCCATACCACCATCCGCGTAATATACTCATCACCTCCGTTGTAACATTTAAACACCTGCCCCTCCTAAACCTCTTTTTCACCTCAGTGTGCACTTCCCAAATCTGCTATTGTGGTCGCTGTCCTCCTCTGCTGTTTGTCTCCCTCAACACCCGCTGCCGATGGCATATCCCCCCAAAGCACTTCCTCCACACCCCCTGCACCCGCACCGCATGAAATCTCTCCTCCTGCACCTCATCTTATCCTGCTCTTCAGATCACTATTGCCTCTGTTTGGAAACTCCTCCCAACTACTCCTTGTTTCAATGATAGTATCCGTATTCTACTTTCCAAATAATTTGTTAATCATACATTTCCAGTCGATTTTTCCGCATCCCCTCAACCCACGTAAAACCTACAAAAGAACCAAAATAAAACAAAAAAAGATCCATCTCCTTGCCACACTGACCCACCAACGTACAACATTATCAACCCTTGTCTTTTGCCCTTCTCAACTAGCTTCCTCCACAGCGACACAAACCCTTCCTCACTTCCTCATCCTCAAGGAGTCCGCGTGTTTAACCCAGTAGTCTTTCAAACGTTTCACTAACGATCCAATTCTATCCCAACCCACCACTGCCGCTGAGAATCTGAATAAATTGCTTCTATAGTGTTAAAAGACTCCACTGAAACCTTGCGCGTTAAATAGATCCTATCCCTCTAGCTGCGTATTCCCTCCTTACGTACGTATGTTTGCACTTCACCTATTCCACCCAAATGCATCTCTACCCCAAATATTCAACACAGGTCTCCGCAACACTTTGAAAAATATCCCGCCCCCGCTGGCATCACATCAAAATCTCCGTTATTATACAATTCCAATCTCCCCCACTTCATGCAACCCTGGTCAGTGCTCTCAAGAAATACACCAGATCATCCCTTACAAAACGCCGATTTATAATCCCTCGCATCTAATCCCGCCGGAGCATACACTCCAACAAAGGACACGCGTTCAACGGGCATCCACCACCCGTCCCCTCTACATTATTCTTCCCTCACACCTCCCCCCCCCCTCAAACCATTTGCAAAACAAACGGGCCTTGCTCTCGAATTAAAGACACCTACTCCACCTTTTAAACGTGTCGTTGGAGTTAACAAAAGCCCTATAATCCATCCACCTCCCAGCAATTTTCCTATTCATTCAAGGTTATGCATCTTGTTATAAAGACAACCTCTACCTTGTAACGATACAGCATCCCCCCAACCATACACACTTACCACTCTTACTTAAACCATTAACATTAATTGTCATAACACTTAGGCCTGCTTACGTTTTCCACGCTCACTTTTCCCACCACAATTTTTCCGCTGTCGGCAGAGTAACTCATACACACCCGATCTTGGCATCACCCCATCCCTCCACTCCTAACCCCTTTGCTGGCGTTTCTTTCTCTGTGCCTCAACACACACTTCAATCCCCACCTCTTTTTCCCTGTCTTTGTGCTTGGAGTGAGGACGTCATCCAAGTCAGACGTGACAGCTGCCCGCTTCCTCAGACAGCTTCCTCCTACGCCATGCAGTCTTCTTGGAACCTGACCTTGCCCTAATCTGTGCACCCCACCTCTCATCACCTCTACATTCCCCTTCTCACAGCACTTGGCCAAGCCGGACATTACATTCAGCTTCAGAACCCCATGCTTCCCCTTTGAGTCCCTGTACCTGGTCTCCCGTCCGTTACCTCTGGTCAAGGCTGTCCTCCGATTTAGGGAACATCTCCTGCAAAAACTGTCTCAAGCACTACGTCAATTTCAACGTCATTTGGGTACGTCCTTGTCCGCCTCGAGGATCACATCCTCATATGCAATACGCACTCAATTGCTGCACTGCACACCTCATGATCCACCTCACGTTGGCATTTCCTCCACTTCCTCAACTTCCGCACAACCGACCACGCCTACGTCCCATCCTGGCGGTTCAGCATCTGTCACTGTAGTCCTCGCCTCGTAATGTCTCACTTCTGGTATTCCCTGGCCAGTCCTCCGCCGCACACATTCAGCCCTATGAGAATTCATAACCATCACAAGTCCCTACAAGTTCTACGTTGCCAGCGTAAGTTTACGAGTATTTGGTGTCCTAAATTCATCTAAGAACTACATTACACAGTATAGGGTTGCCTCAGAGTCAATCTTTAGGTTAAAACTAACCTTCCGGATAACCCAGCATAAGGGCCCCTGCCTCCCTTGCGCTTGTTTTGATCTACGTTACAGTTTCCAAACTTCCGAACACACTAACGTTAGAGTCAGAGCTTCCATTTGGCCTCAAAGGCACATTACGTACCTTTTACATAACGGTAAACATTGACTCTAAAACTCATCGACCATGCTTTACCAGGATGCCCTCGTAACCTACGATAAGCAACGATCCTGATATTGAGAAGTAGATCCTCATACACGTGTGATGACACGTTTCACGAAACTATTTCGTAGTTTCCAATTAAGGCTACACCCGTAAAGGTCGCAATCCCTCAATTCCTATGTCTCTCAGAATAACAGAGGCAACAACGTCAACGCCGAATCTTGATTAATTGTACCTCTCAGTAATTCTATGCCGACAGTGTTAATTCTGCGTCTCACCCCAACCACCATTGTGACAGCCTGGCTAGCACTTGCGCCTGTCAGAGAGGAGTAGCAAAAACGTCCACCCTCACCCGCAGCTGGGCGAGGAATGAATTTAGAATGGGGACTGTACATACGGGGGGGGGGTAGAAGTGTCAGCTGTGTCGGCACTGGCAATAATGAGTATTGTAAAGGAGGGTTTGAAGATTATGTGGATTAATAATATATAAATAACAAAGGGGAAAAAATAATGCAGATTGTAGGTTTGGGTTTTCCTTGGTAATAATAATAATGATGAATATTGTTATGTTATCTTGTGTAATCTTACTTAACATAGTTACATTGGATGTAATGTATATGGGATGAGGGACAGGTGTGACAACACAACGTTAATCGTCTGTGTTCATTTAGACAATGAGATTTATAATTTTGAGTAAGAACTGATACTGTGTTCTTTTATCTATTTAATGTATTGTGTTGTTTTAAATAAAAATATAAAAAAAAAAAAGCTTCCCGTGGAACACACTACGTGCTTCCCGTCTCCTGTGGGGAGTATACTATATCATATCTTTCTCTCACCTTGGAGTATATGGTAATTTTTCCTCCCAGTAGGGAGTGAACCAAAAGGTTCTGTATTAAAAAAGAGTTAACGAGTATGAACCTGAACCTATCAGCTTGTGTGAACCTCCATCACTGTTGGAGGACCAACAGTGAACGGTCATCAATGCTCAAGAACAAATCTTGAGCAGCTTCCCGCTCAGAGATTCACACTCAGCCTCATCATAGAGGTTGGTGTCATATCTGAGTTACGGTCAAGGAACTCAGCATACATCATATAGAATTGATCCTATGAAGTATGACATTAATTTCCACCAGTTAGTTAGTTAGTTAAAGATTAGCCGGTATTCTCCCGGCCCGGGCCTTGTCCAAGTGGTGGCCCGGCCTTGGCTCCCTCTTTAGGGAGTGTCTGAGACCTAAGTCTCCCATGGGAGAAGGCACAAGTACCTCCTCATCTTTGGGACCAATTGTCCCCAGGCCTAGCCACAAGCTAGGCCTCTCTGGTCTGCCATCCACGCCCCAAGGGAGCAAATGGGAATGACAGTCTTATGAGCTAAAGGCTCGGGCTCAGGCACCTACCCTACCCTAAAAGGGTTAGGCATGGTGTCGATGAATTTCCACCAGAACAGCCATTAACCTCACTACCAAGACTGATGAATAATTTTAAAATCTGATGTTTTTATGTAATTATTAATAATATATTAAAAATATTTACATTTTATCTATGAAATGCTATAAAGTGAATATCTTTGCATTTTATAGTATGTCAAGTTATATGATAAATGTAAAAAATCTTATTTATATACGAATATATATGAAAAATTATCTTGTGTAGAAATGTTAAAAAAAACTGGATATCAGTTCTTACTGCTAATAAACATCACAAATTATTTACTAGAGACTCATAAAGAAGCAGAACACAAACTACTACAATAAATAACAAGCAACACTCCAGCAAACTAACAAATAATAACAATAAACTTAAAGAAAGTTATGATCTCACCCCCAAATAGTTACCAACTAGTTTTTTTTTATATTTTATTTAAAACTTCATGTACAAATATACATAGGTACATATAACAATATGTAACATTGACACTGGTGATGCAAAAACATTCACTACACATCTACTGAATAAACACATACATAAGACATTAAAATAAAAGAACACAACCTATAGACTGGTTTACCTACGTACGTTGTTTGACAAGTACACAAAGTTCATTCGAACCGGCATCACGTACGTCTTCACAAGTACACAAGGTTCATTA